AGTTGGTGACCCCCAGAGATGCAGTGCCCAGTAATGCCCTTTCTCTCATCAGCCCACCCTCAATTCAAGGGTGACAACGTCTATCAAAGTTCATTTGAACATCTCCTGTGTTTGGTATCTCGCGGTAGAGTCCTGTCTCAGCATTTCCTTGAGAAAGTTATAAAACCGAACAAAAAAGTAGATCAGCGAGCTTCACAATATAACAAACATAAACGAAACGTGAACGTTGCGGCTCAAGAGCCTTCATCAGCGAATATATAAATCACACAAAACAACATAATAACATAAAATCACTTCACCCACATATCTCGAGGCAACCACGTAGATGTCTTGCCAGCGGAATGAAGAGAAACGTTGGGCCCTAGAATAAAAAGCCGAAGAATGCCAAGGGCCGTAACTCGAGACTTTTAGATGAAACTGTGTTGACAGTTCAGTCCCCCGGGTGTTAGCTCGCCCACGGTTGAAATAGAGAGATTTACAAGAGACTTGCTGAAGTGGCTAGATTTCATGGCTATCACCTCCATGTTGTGGACTCCTTGTTGATCCTGGGAATCGAAGTGCAACGTTACAGGTTTTAGGGCACCGCTTCTCCCTTGGCGTTCCTAAACATCTCTACTCCAAACCTACGAGAGCTCCAACAGATATTGTCGTGATAAGTATGAGTGTCGGAAGGAAGTGGCTGGTGTGGGGGAACTTAGCTCACCCCCTTCCCCCCCCCCCCCCGCATATTGTGAGATTGAGTGGGAAGGCTGAGCTCTCTAATAATAATGCCCCCCCCCCCCCCCCAAAAAAAAAAAACGGAAAAGGGGGGGGGGGGGGGGTTCAAGGTATCATAGCTCCTACATTCCAACTCCCCTGGACCTTTCTTTACATGTTTCATGTCGGTTTCAAATGTCAATCAATGATTCAGTTCAATGTGTCTTTTATGTACTTCGTTGATACAGCGACTCGCGTTTTATGTATCAGCTTTTGATATAACTTGAAGGCGAATGGGGTAATTAAAATTTCAAGAAAACAAATAAAGTGCAAAAACACGAAATAAACGAGCAAAGATTTATTACTGCGTATAGGAAAAACAAAGAATTAAAACCAGTGTTTCCCAAACTATTTTATTCCTATTTTATAAAACAGCCGGTTGCCCCCCGCCCCCCCCCCCCCCGGCCCAAAAAGTTCTCCCCTCCCTGGAAATATAATTATCATCGTGTGCCGTGCCTGCTGATAAGCAGAGGGGGTAATGATTCGCGGCCTCACATTACCATCAGTATCACGGATTTTGAGAACGATGCAGCCACTAGCAGGAATTTAGGGTCACATGCCGATGGAACCAGCATGATAGTTCATAGCTGATGGCCGCTCCACAGTCCCCCCCCCTCCCCAACCAGTCAGTGAGCCACAATTTGTCATTTTCTGAGTTATAAATTTCACTGTAAAAAAAAATAAAAAATGTATGCGACAAAAATTAGTTTCTCGACAGCAATAGCAAATACTGAAAGGAAAACGACGCACACTTCACAAGTTCCTCTACATAGTCATGTTTATCATTGTCCTCCTGATCGTTATCCTTATTATCAGTACATCATCGTGTTTGTCGTTGAGTCTTTCGATAGAGCATTCCATTACATTGCAAAGCTCTCAGGCTGCAGCAAAACTATGACTATCAATTATCTCCCCATGGTAACGAGCTGATACGTAGCCTTGAAGAAGGACGAAGTCTGGCAATAGCAGCGCTGTCTGTGTCACAACGAGCTGAGGGTAACAGTGGCAACGACGGACAGCTGGCAGATGGCAGATGGAGAGGAGATGTCGCATTCCCGGCTAAGACGCAACCGTTGAATGGACGATACGACTGAGAGTGCACGGTTTGCGTTCCTCGGGGTGACTTTTGGATGAACACATCTAGAACTGGTCTCCAAGAACCATGAGTTGTAAACCCTTTTGCTTTTTACTATGGATATCGCAAAAGTTTGGCCTTGATTCCATGACAGATATTGTAAATCTGTTGGAAAATGTGACCTTTCTACCATACCCTCGAGCTTGAATTCGGATCACAAGGAGTTTGTCACCTGGTCGCAGCGTAGCTGGTTTAACCAACTTAGCTAGCGCGCCGGGCAACGCGAAAGAGGTAAAGCTATGTTGTATGACGATAAAAGATTGTAGCTTTTCATTTGGTGTGATTTCTTTTCCAAAATTTTAGTTTGTTTCGTTCGTTGCTATTGGACACAAGAGGTGGCATAATACAATGAAATTAATAGAAGGAGAAAGTAGGAAATGACAATATGACAGCGCAAGATGGCAAATAATTGCACTTGTTGACCAAAAAAGCATCATGCACATAAGTATATGCAGCCATGGTTGGCCATCCCGCGCGATCTCCAGTATAATAATACAAATAAGGCAACATAAAAACAAGATGTTTGTTTACATTACAATTATTTTCTTGTATAGTTGAAAGTGTCGGCGTCTGTGGCTTAGGGGTTTGCGAACCCTCTTCGTAATGTCGGGGTGCCGGGTTCGATCCGAGATGCGGAAGATTAGTCTTGTGTTGGTTACGACAGTGGTACCGAGCACTGACAGTTCAGTAGTGGCAAACTACTGAACGTAAAATGTGACTAAAAAAACACAAAAAATGCTGGGGTTGGTTCTGTAACATCATGTAAAGGATACTTAACTAACTTTTTAGTTGAAAGTTTCCACATTCTGATTTTATCCATTTTATAATTACATCTTGACTTCAGTTATTCCCCACTTCATATTTTGTTAAATGATAAATAATATCACAAGCTAAGTACTTATGTAAGTTTTATTTTTTTAAGTAAAGGACCTTTTTCCACATCTTCAGGCGTCTTGGGCATATAGGGTTGTACCTATATTTGATAGACCAAGCACTTGTTGAGTGATGTGGTCAGCTTTTGTTACCAGGACTTAACCTGGTATCCATTGAAGATTAGATTGACCTGCAAGCAAAGGTCATTTCTTAAACAAAAAATCCCGGCTCCATTAGGATTCGAACCCACAACCTTCCGATCGGCAGGCGAGTCTCTAGCCGCTACACTGCGGCGGCATTCTAAGTACACATAACAACATAATACATATAAAAATTCGTCTTTTTCTTCTTCTTCTTCTTCTTCTTCTTCTTCTTCTTCTTCTTCTTCTTCTTCTTCTTCGCGTTCACCAGCTGTAAACTCTGGAAAGTTCTTATTGTTGTCCTGTTCCGAGACCTGAGTGTTGCGTGTGCATCCGTTTTACATATCTGTCTCATTTGTATGCAGACTGCTATTTCATTTTCTCTCAAGCAGATGCACTCAGACTTTGAGGGAAGCTCCCAATTAGTCGACTTCTATGACATACTTTTGGGTAGGCAGTGGGTCTATTCTTGTTTTCCCTATAACAGAGCCCCAGAACCCCACACGGGGACATATACAAATAATTTCAACTACAACAATAACCTACCCACACTGCACTACTAGTGACTTGGGAACCGTTTTGTGGTGCCTCGAAATAACTGTACTATATGGCAGTACAGCTGAACGGTGTTCCCCGAGAATTGTATCTATTCGATAATCATTCTTAGGATGAGAACCTTGTTCAACTGTACAGTCATACCATTTTTATCATCATCATCATCATCATCATGTAGCAAGTCCTTTGCAGGAGGTCGCTAACATTACATTCTGCAAAAAGCCAAAAGCAAAGACTCGGCGTCTTGCCAGCTCTGCCGCTTCATGCACTTTCACATCCAAAGTCACATCCAGTGCCCATCTTCGTGCTGGTCGGTCCCTGCACATCTTCCTGCTACCACTCCTTGCGCAATTCTCACTAACTCCATCCTCCAGGTAGCTGTGGCACTTGATATGGCCAAACTATGTCAGACAAGATGCTGTTTAGTAGCCAGTCTTTCTTGATTTTCAGATCTTTTTTAATGTCTGTATTTCTGCTCAGCTCAAGTAGCCAGATTGTACAGTTATATTGGGGCATCTCAAAACGGTTACATATAATCAGATTGTGACCGGTACCGTCAGTACTGGAACTCTATGCTGGCTGACTGACTGACTTTCTACCCCACCAGGACATCACACAAGCGATAAACACCCGATGACACAAAGCGCCACCATGCGGATGAGGATCGCCGTGGAGAGGTCCCAGAAACCGCGTTCAGACATTTGGCCATATGTATGGCCTGCCTATATTGCGGCCCCTGGCAAAAGCCAGGGTAGGGCTTCAAATGGCAAAAAATTTCGTCCTAATAAGGACGAAAATGGATGATCTCTATGCTGGCTGCTAAAGATGAGGACGTCTACACATGGGAATGCCCCGAGTGCTGTGATGTACATTCTTGACTCAACTCAACTCAACTCAACACAACACAAAACGTTTACGAACCTCCGCACTTGAGGGATTTAACTTCCGCAAATCCGACATAGTTTCTGAATATCTACATTTTCAGAGACTCCATTTTATTGTTGAGAGTTTGTTGATATTATTATAACTATTCACCAACAAACATTGTACAAAATATGTTTCAGATATCCAGCAGCAGGCGAAACACGAAATGTAAAAAAAAAAAAATTTAGTAACAAGTGTAACATACAATTTATTATAACTATTTAGCAACAAAAGTGACATACAATGTATTATAATTATTAAGTTTATAATTATTTATTAACAACAGTTCCTTAAAGTGTATTATAACTATTTAGTAACACACGTTACATAAAATGTATTCGAAATATTTAGTATCAAATGTTATAAAATATAATCATAATTATTTAGTAACAAATGTTACAAAAATTTGTTATAGCTATTTAGTAACGTTAGTTTTATAAACTGTATTATAATTATTTAGTAACAGATGTTAACAAAAGGGACCTACAACTATCCGCTAATAAATGTTTGTAACGTTATGTTACAACTGTCCAGTAACAAATATTAGTAAAGGTGTGTTACAACTATCCAGGAACAAATGTTAGCAAAAGTGTGCTACAACTGTTGAGTAACAAATGTTACACTTGTGGCAGATACGTGTTCTCGGCTGTTTTCAGTTCATCATCTTTGGTTAGCCGGAACAGTTCTTTCACAGGAGCAATCTGGGGAGATAATACACAAGACATTAGTGAGACAATGAGAGAGGGGGTAATACACACCACATCAGTTACAATCTGAGGGAGGGGGTAATACACACCACACCAGTTACAATCTGAGGGAGGGGGTAATACACAATAAATCACTGACACAATGGGGGAGAGGTAATATTAACGAAATCAGTGACACAACGGGGGAGGGAATAATACACAAGAAATCAGTGACACAGCGGGGGAGGCGGTAATACACAAGAAATCAGTGACACAACGGGGGAGGGAGTAATACACAAGAAATCAGTGACACAATGGGGGAGGCGGTAATACACAAGAAATCAGTGACACAATGGGGGGAGGGAGTAATACACAAGAAATCAGTGACACAATGGGGTGGGGGAAAAAAAGGGGGGGGGGTAGTACACACAACATCTGTTACAATCTGAGGGAGAGGGTAATACACACCACATCAGTTACAATTTGAGGATGGGGATAACACACACCGCATCAGTTACAGTCTGAAGTAGAAGGTAATGCATAGTTCACGAGTACAGTGTAAGGGAGATAAAAAGATCCGCTTCTTGCTCGAATCGAGCATAGACATATCGTGCTGTTTTAGAGTTTCTCTAATATTATCGTCCCATTAGTTCTTGGTCTACCTCGTGATCTACGTCCTTCTCTTTGAGTTTATACCTGGTATTTTATGACGTCACAAGGCATTCTCACTAAGCTGTAAAACCATTTAGTTTGCCGTCTATAGTATTACTATAGAGAGCTAAAACGTGCAGAATATTTAAAGCAATTACTAATAAGGGTATACCCTAATAAGTTCAAAGTTCTCATTAACGCAATATGACATTAACACATTAACGCCTATCCAAAAAAGCGAAATTCAATGTTACACGCTTCCGAGCTTAGGCGTTGCAAGTCGGACTCATAGTGCCAATGTGCAACTATCGAAACTCGCTGCGTGGATTTTTACCATGGTATAGGGCGTCCCGGTCCTCCAGGCTCGGGGGTTGGGAGCTCTGCCCTGTAAAAAATCTACAACGTTACTGAAACTTCAAGAGGAAATAAGTGCTCTAAACGTCCGGTGGTCTTGGGACAGAGTCCCTCTGTCAGCATGAACAACTTGGGTGAAAGCCGAAAGGAAGCCCATGATGGGAAAACAAGTCTGCTGGATGTCAAAACCAAATTAAGAATTGGCTTCTGGAATAAGAGAAAACAGGGGCGCCCAAAAACAACATGGAGAGGAACGATGGAAAGTGACCTGAGTGCGGCATCTTTGACATAGAAAACTGCACTGAAGATTGCACAGGACAGGAAAGCATGGAAAGTCCTCTCTGAAGCCTCATGTGCCACTAGGCATAACGAGAACTGATGATGATGATAGGGCGTCGCAGGTCGACACAACCTTAAAAGGGGTACCAGGATGTATGCCCTGGGGCAGTAAAGATGGCCGGCGTAACGCTGACCACATTACCCACCTAGTGCCGATTGGTCTGTAAAAATATGGGTGCTCTACCCTTATGCCCGATGCGCATAAAGGCGTGAAAAGGGATTTTACTCTTTTGTTATCATTACACTTTCCGTCCTTTTTAGGACGAAATTTTTCGTTATTTGAAGCACTACTCTGGCTCTTGCAAGGGGCCGCAATATAGCCTGGCGATAAATATGGCCTAAAGGCTGACCGCGCTTTCTGGGACCTCTCCACGGTGATTCTTACCCACATGGTGGCACTTTGTGTCATCAGGTGTTTATCGCTTGTGTGATGTCCTGGTGGGGTAGAAAGTCAGTCAGCTGTTTTACTCTTTACTTTCACTGTAATACAGAAGCTGTAATGGGAAACTTTTGAAGAGAACTCATCAAATCATTGTGAATCAGGAGGTGAAAAAGTAACTAGGAAATAGTAGTATATCAAGTATGTTCTTTCACTGGAGCCAACGGGTAAAAGAGATCGAAGGCGGGGTAGGACACGAGAGTCTTGACCCTGACCATTTAGGACCGGTGTGCTAGTGAAGTCGCAACAAGCTGGAGAGGTTAGGATGTATATTTGTTTCTTCTTCTTTCTTCTGTTTTCCCAATGTGTACGCCGTGGAGAGTCGCAGAGAGGAGTTAGATGTAATTTCCTGTCTTTTGCTAGTTGCGTAGCTGGTAATGTCATACCGTGTTTCTGTAGCCTGTCTTTTGCTCCCTCTACCCACGTTTTTCTTGGTCGACCTCTTGATTTGTAGCCCGCTGTACGCTTCCGCAGCTGGCTGATTTGATTCCATTCTGACCGTTTTGTCAAACCGTTATACTGATATGAAATGTGCTCACCAACTCCTCGTGAAAACAACCAGTAGAGGTACCTTGGAGTGGTACCTTGGGGTGGCTGTTGCATTAGAGGGCTTACCACTCATGGGAGTACCCAATGTGCAGTGCCGTTGACTATAATAACATAGCATAATAAAACATAACATAACCTAGCAGAAGTATCCCCAAGATCAGCACATAATAAAAACTATATTTGGTCACACTTCTAATTAACTCACGAACGTCGATGTAGCTACGGAGCTCGTGCGGACGGCGACAGAGGCAGACAGTTTCTTACCAGCTGTCCGTACTGGTGGCAGAACACTTATGGTTTATAACTGTGTGCAATGACGCTGGCTCACATCACCTGAGGTTACTTTTCTAATTAACTGACGCTTAACGCGATGGAAGGGATTGCTTCCCTTTGTTGATCAAGTTAACATTAATGTACCTTGCTGTGTGTGTATGTGTGTGTGTGTGTGTGTGTGGGGGGGGGGGGGGGTGAGCTGAGGGGTTTGATCAGATTTATTGAAAACTGTGGCCCGCATAGTTGCCACCGCGTGACTTACCTACCAGTAGTCATTTTCTGGTCATTTTATGAGAAGAGAGAAACGACGTGTTGAAAAGATTTCGGAAAGAGAGACAGAGGAAGACAGCCTAAGAAGATTCATGACAGCCTTTTGTTATGGCCTGGAGGGGTGTCAACGGGTGATATATACTGCTAGAGATCGTAGGTTGTGGGGAGGCATGATTGTCGACGCCAGTCGGCAAGGTACGTGATGATGGGATGAGACAGGTTGAACAGCAATCGCAGAAAAAAGAAACAACAACGGACATTGACCTTTGACTCTACGCCAACGGTGCTTTGATCCTTGTAGATTTGAGCTGTGAGGTCCTGCATGGCCTTCACGGATGCCCTCATTGAGTGATTGGCCCAGATGATTAGAGACACCTTGTGATCCCTCCAGACTTGCATCGGCGTCTTGTAGTACATGGTTGGCACCAGGACGACAGGTCCCTGCAACAGTACATAGAAATATGTAAGTAGGCATAGTTAAACAGCTTGAGACAGTAAGAAAGTACTGGATGGGCAGCAACCATCAAACTGGTCGTATGCCACATGCATTAATACTGTGTAGGCTGCTGGTTTTGTCGTGACTGCTGTTTTCTTCAACGATGAATTATAGTTCCAGAGCAAGCGTCATGTTTGCCACACACAAAAAACCGTCAAGTGCCGACTGTCTACAGCAAACGGGGGCTAGCACTGTATAGCCAATGCATCCAAACGTGTAGAAATAGGGCTCACACTTCAAACATATCTCTCTGAAGACCCAGTCATCCTTCTTGCACAAAAGAAACAGACCATTTTATTAATATTGTGTACTGGACACAACACACTCTGCAGCCATGTGTACAAGACATTCAAGATTAGGTATTGAATACTTTGCTCATGTGGACAGGCAACACAGAATACTGAACATATGCTACAGTCATGCTCTCTGTGCGCAGTAGAGCAGTGCTCAGAAATATGTGCTCTTTACAAACAGAAGAGCAGTGATTTAAAAACAAAAAAAAGTCAGTGAAATCAGTGCTTTCCACGTGGAGTAGAGCAGTGTTCTCCACCCTGGGAACAGGCCCCTATAGGGGGCGTGAGGTAGTTACAAGGGGGGCGTGAGGAAGTACTAAGGGGGCGTGAGGAAGTTGCAAGGGGACGTGAGGAAGTTCCAAGGGGGGCGTGAGGAAGTTGCAAGGGGGCGTGAGGAAGTTCCAAGGGGACGTGAGGAAGTTCCAAGGGGGCGTGAGGAAGTTCCAAGGGGGGCGTGAGGAAGTTGTAAGGGGGCGTGAGGAAGTTCCAAGGGGGCGTTAGGAAGTTGCAAGGGGGCGTCAGGAAGTTCCAAGGGGGCGTGAGGAAGTTGCAAGGGGGCGTGAGGAAGTTCCAAGGGGGCGTTAGGAAGTTCCAAGGGGGCGTTAGAAAGTTGCAAGGGGGCGTGAGGAAGTTCCAAGGGGGCATGAGGACGTTCCAAGGGGGCGTGAGGAATTTGCAAGGAGGCGTGAGGAAGTACCAAGGGGGCGGGGGCGTCAAGCAATATAAAAATTAGTTAATTTGCATTTGTAATAATCCGTTACGCTAACAAATTTTTTCTTCCGTTTTATTATTTATGTCAAACGCGCCCCCACCCCCCCCCCCCTTTTTTTTTTAAACAGTTGATACATTTATTGTTTAAAACCTGAAAAATATTTTAACACGAGCTTTTCATTACATATTAAGAACACCGTCCTCTTGTTAAAAAAAAATCACACTTGGCTATGTTGAGGGGGTAAGGGGTATGAGCGTAGAAGGTCTTGGCATATCTAAAAAAAAAAAAAAAAGTGGGGGTATAGGGCGGTGTGGAGGGTCTTGCCATATCTCAAGAGGGGGGGGGTGGCGGTGTGAATGGGTCTTGCATATCTGAAAAAGTGGGAGAAGGTGGCGTTGAGGGTCGTGCCATATCTCAAAAAGGGAGGGGCGTGATTGGGTCATACCATATCTGAAAAAGAAGGAGGGGGGTGGCGAGATGGTCTTGCCATATTTCATGAGGGGGGGGGGCGGCGGCGAAGAGAGTCTTGCCATAAACTCAGGGGTGGGAGAGGGGCCGCCACCTGAAAAAAGGTTGGAGACCACAGCAGCAGAGATCCCAGGTTTGGCTGGTTGAAATGCCAACGGGCAGGCATGCTGTATGGAAAAAAAAGGGACATACGTGGCATAACAGACTGCCTTGAGGCCCATGGCATTCTCATTTGGAAACCAGCGACAGGGTTAACGAAAAGAAGACGAGAGCAAACAAAGAAATACATTTTTGTTGAACAATAAGGCATGCCTTGTTTTTCCAAGCCTTTAAGAAATCTAAGATGTCCGTTGGCTCCTTCAGCTTGCTGTGCATCAGGATGGCCGTCGCCCCAGCGGCCAGGTAAGCGTCAGCTCGTTTGAGAGCTTCATCCACGCCCCATCCGGCAATCAAAGCCTCGACCCTGGCCACGATGTTGAAGTCTGGGTCCCTCTGTACGTCCTTCATGGCCTGAGAGATTAGATGGAAGAGGTGAGTGAATTGGTAAATATTACTAAACGGGCTTTTGTTTCCACCGGAAACGAGAGCTGCCGGTAGTAGAAACGATTTGTCTAAAACAACGCCGGTAGTCACCACACAGTGTCTTCTTCTCCTTCTTGTTCGCGTTCACCAACCGTATACATGGAGTCGCCGTAGCGTAGCGGCTACACGATCAGAAGGTCGTGGGTTTGCTCCCTGGTGGAGCCGGACTTTTTTCAAAAATAATCTTGGCTCCCAGGTCGACCCAGCCTTGAGTGAGTACCAGGTGCAGACATGGGAAATATAGGCGGCCGGTGTGATGCTGACCACATCACCCATCTTGTGCCGTTGGTCTATGAAATATAGTTCTAGCCCTATATGCCTAATACGCCTGAAAGGCATGAAAATGGGTCGTTTGCTTTTACTTACCAGCTGCGGGGGAAAGTTCTGGTTGTTCATCGACCTCTGGATTTTAGTCTTGTTTAAGAACCTGGGTTTCGCATGAACACAAGTTTTACAGATCTGACTAATTTGTATGCAGATTGTTTGTTCCTTGCCTCTCAGGCACTCCGAGTATGGAGGAAGATTCAGCTCGTCGACCCGTACGACATGCTTGTTGGGGGGTTGGCAGTGGGCCTATTCTTGTTTTCCCTATAATTGGGGGCCTGGAACTCACACGGGGAAAAGTGCCTATTTGAAAAGCAAACACATACACAATTATGCCTAAAAGATGAAGGTACTGCGCACCCTTGCGTGCCGCCAGAAAAAAAAAATCACCCAATGGTTATTTATTTAAATTCCTTTCGTTGCGGCATTGGCATATTGTATTGTCTCCTCTTTTTCGTTGCTTTTGTGTGCATGTGTCTTTTTTTCTGGTGGTCTTCCAGAAAAACTGTTAAGCCGTTTTGCCTCGCGCTCTAAAGGGGGTGGGTTCGTTTATCAGCGGCGGTGCCGTTCAGTTCACGTGCGCAATTTTTATGGAGATTCGTGGGGATCGTTGCTGGAGCTACGAATTTCGTGCCTTGTGCGATGCTCTCGGCAGGCGGCTAGCTGCTCTGCGGAGAGGGACCCAACCATACGGGATAAAACCCTATGCAATGAAGCCGATCCTCCCGACTTTAACCTTTTAACTTTTACCTTTTCTTTTTAATCAATGCGTGCGCTTCTACACGGCCTTCTCTATTAGAGAAGGCGTTGGCTTCTATTTCTCCCTCTCTCTGTTTCTGTGTGTATGTGTGTGTCTTTGCGCGTGCGTGTGTGGTTCACACAACAGAGACTGGCTGCAGTAGATTCGTGCATTCACCACTGTCTCTATCAATATCAAGTAGTGAGGCACCAGTCGCATCCACTGTCGCCGTCAATATCAAGTAGTGAGGCCCCAGTCGCATCCACTGTCGCTGTCAATATCAAGTAGTGAGGCCCCAGTCGCATCCACTGTCGCTGTCAATATCAAGTAGTGAGGCCCCAGTCGCATCCACTGTCGCTGTCAATATCAAGTAGTGAGGCCCCAGTCGCATCCACTGTAGCTGTCAATATCAAGTAGTGAGGCCCCAGTCGCATCCACTGTCGCTGTCAATATCAAGTAGTGAGGCCCCAGTCGCATCCACTGTCGCTGTCAATATCAAGTAGTGAGGCCCCAGTCGCATCCACTGTCGCTGTCAATATCAAGTAGTGAGGCCCCAGTCGCATCCACTGTCGCTGTCAATATCAAATAGTGAGGCCCCAGTCGCATCCACTGTCGCTGTCAATATCAAGTAGTGAGGCCCCAATCGCATCCACTGTGCTGTTCTCTGAGCGTCAGGAGAACATTTCGTAAATTCGAGGTCAGTGAGCGCGTCTGACAATCTTTTACGTACATGGTTTTGATTTTAGCGCTGGGAGGTTTTGAAAACAACGACAATTTGTATTGGACAGTCAAATCAAATTCATCTTCTTCTACTTCTTCTTCTTCTTTGTTCACAGGCTGTATGCTCCAGCGGAAAGTCCTAATGGTTCATCCACCCGGACTTTGGCTTTGGGCCAGGTCCTGAGTTTTGAGGGTACGTCCGTTTTACATGCTTAATTCTGTGCGGCTTGTTTTGTCATTGAAGCTCGGGCAGATACACTTCATCTTTAAAGGTAGTCCCCAATTAGTCGATTCCTACGACATGCTTGTTTTTGAAAAAAGTGGGTCTATTCTTGCCTCTCCCCCCCCCCCCCCCCACCCCACAATAGACCGCTAAACCCATATGGGGAAAAGTTGATCTAAGATATTCAGCAAGTAATCCATGAACTGGTACCTGAATCTTCAAAGCAAATTCTTTAACATCGGCCAACGGTTGTCGTCTGCCATCTAGAAGTGAGTTTGTTTTTGGGAACAACTTGTCCTCGACAGCCGCTCCTGGGGCAAATATGTATAATAATAATCATAACACACAGTGGTAGTTGTTTTATATGTGTTATATATATATATATTAGGGCTGTACCGAATAGTGATTTTCACTATTCGGCCGAATACGAATAGCTGGACCAACTATTCGGCCGAATACGAATAATCAATCATCATCATCAGGTGCTGTGCCGACTGGCGCGGGCGATTATGCTTCGCCACAATCTGCGATCTCCTGCAGCATGTATTAGTTTGTGTGCTGACACACCTCCGTGCCATGCAACAAGACTGTCAAGAATCTTTTCTCATGTCTTCCTCTATCCCTCCTTCCACATATCTTTCCAGTGGTCACCACATGTTCCATTTTCCCTCATCTTATAACATGCCGAAAAATGATGACTGTCTCCCTCTGATGTCTGTGAGTAGATGTCTTTGGGCTCCCGCCTCTATCAAAACCTCTTGGTTGCTTTTTTTTTAAAGCATTGTTCTGTAAAACATCATCTCTGAGGCCTCAAGAAATTGTTTGGCCTGCCTACTGATTGTCCAGGACTTACAGCCATATGTTAAAACTGGATGTATGTAGCAAGCAAGAATTCTTTTTCTAACCTTCAATGACAAAGATATATTGCATAAGATGTTCTTCATTTTATAAATGCAGTTTTTGCCTGTCCTATTCTGTTTCTTATTTCAGTATTGAATCTTACATCTGATATGATCCATGTGCACAGATACTTAAACTTCTGTACTTGTCCCAAAAATAAAACCATTGACTTTTATCACACATTTAGGAATAGTTATTTTCTTTGATACCACCATCTGTCTTCCCACTATTCAAACTGAGGCCCATTCTTCCACTTTCGTGTATAAAATAGATCTAAAAAAAAAAAAACACACATCCATAATGTCAAATGTATGCTGAAACTTTAAAAATGTAGTACAGAATAGTAAACATTTAAAAACATTTAATGCTTTGCATCCTTCAGTCAGCCAGTCTGTGGAAACTAATACCTGGGAATGAAAGTATTCTTAGTTTTATAACAAGGAACTAAACTTGTAAATTGTCACTGACAGTTAAGTTAATACATGAAAGCGGCATTAGCTTTCAATTCATGTTGTCAGCATTAAGGCAGCTTCTTGTCTCACTGAAGGTATTTCCAGCTGTACTAAACAGGCGTTCACTTGGTACGCTCGTAGGTGGTGCACAAAGATAACGCTTGACAGTAAGAACCAAGGTGGGAAATCTTCATATGTTTATTTGCCACCAGTCCAGAAACGGGTGTGAGGTAACCACTATTCGTATTCGACCCGACCGCAACTATTCAGTCGAATACCGAATAGTTATTAGGTCCACAATTCGGCCCCGAAGCGATTACGAAGCGAATATTCGGTACAGTCCTTATATATATATATATATATATATATATATATATATATATATATATATATATATATATATATATATATATATATATATATATATATATATATATATATATATATATATATATAGTAGCAGTATCAGTAGTAGCAGTCGTCGTAGTAGTAGTAGTAGCAGCAACAGCAGCAGCAGTAGTAGTAGTAGTAGTAGTATAATATAATATTAATAATAAGAAGAAGAAGAAAAAGAAGAAGAAGAAAAAGAAGTGCAATGGTAGTAACAGCAGCAGTAGTATTAATAGAAGCAGGAGCAGTGTAATAGTAGCAGCAGAAGAAGCAGCAGTAGTATTATTAGTAGTAGCAGCAGCAGCAGTAATAGTAGTAATAGTAGCAGCAGTAGTAGTAGTGGCAATGACAGAAGAAGTAGCAGTAGAAATAGTACTCTTATTAGAAGTGATGGTGGTAGTAGTAGCAATGACACCAGCAGCAAAAACAGTAGCAGTAGTTGTAGCAGCAGCAGTAGTAGTAGAGGCAGTAACAGCAGAACTAGGAGTCTTATTGGTAGTGATGGTGGTAGTAGTGGTAGTAGTGGTAGTAGTGGTAATGCCAGCAGAAGCACACACACACACAGACACACACAACAGTAGCAGTAGTTGTAGCAGCAGCAGTAGCAGCAGTAGTAGTCTTTTTTAGCAGTAGTGAGGTGGTGGTGGTGGTGGTAGTGGTAGTCAGTATTATTTAATGGTAGTGTTTTTTTTTTTTAATTATTATTATTTTTTTATTTTATAGCAACGTCGCATTGAAATACAACCGAGATTCTTAAATAAATAATAAACAGGATGATACATTGCATATTTTCTTTTTAGAAGTGTGCAAAACTGTGGCTTCCATCCATCATTTGCTTTGTCTGTATACTACTTGCTTGACGTCACTCAACAGACGCATAACACAGAACAAAACAAACAGAGCTGACAATAAAGACACATATAGATGTAAAATGAACAGCAGATAGGCTAGTTCTCAAGCATATTGTTTGTTTGAAATATGAGTATTCAGAACAATGTTTTCTGGTAAGGAATTTAAAAAATACGGTATAAATCGGCAATTCTCAAACTGGGTGCCACGACAATAATAATAATAAAAAAATTGCCTGAGTTTAAAACAGAAATACCGTGAAGGAAGCCGAGAAGAGTTCTGGATGCAGGTGTATTCAGAAAACAATGCTACAGTCAAGGCTGTAGTGCATTCTTATCGTACGCTTACATAAAAAACAACAGATACAGGAGCAAATGGGTCAAGTGATTTGAGGGTAAAATTAACTATACTTCTCATTTAAATAAATGAAATAATCAACAATTTATTCAGTTACATCCATCGCATTAAAGACAACTGAACACTAAATGTGCACTTTTCCCACTAATTATTCAACGGTTTTAAGGGTAGGTGTGCCGCGAATTTTGTCCCCACAGGGGTGCCGCGGAGAAAAAAGTTTAAGAACCTCTGCTATAAATAATACATTGGACATTTCACTGCGGGACATATTTCGCATACTCCGTTCCTGCTGGTGGAGTCGTAATCAATAATGTCCATGAGGAAGTCCTTTACAGAACGTCGCTCTCTCTCTCTCTCTCTACGGCACGCCTGAAAGTACTCCTTTCCGTAGACAGCTCCCCAGCCTCATGTGCTTTCAATGCAAAAGGTTCAACTTGAAGGTTACAGTCGAGAGGATCGACTTCATTGCACCGGGTTTCATCCCATATTGCTCGGTCTCTCTCTGCAGAATTTCTAGCCGCTTGCTTAGAGCGCTGCACAGAGCACGAACTCCGTGTCTCCGGCGAAGATCCCCAGAGAACTGCGTAAAAATTGCACTCATGAACTAAAGGGCGCAACCGTGAAACGAACCCACTACCTTCAGGTAAACGGCTTGACTATTTAGCCACAAAAACCCCCAGCATACAGTGGACATTTTAGTGCCAATGTCTCTCCAGTGTCCTTGTCCACCAGGTCGACCCCTGCCTCGCTTTCCACAGAACTGTACCTTTCATCGCCATCTTTTCCAAGCCAGCTTAACGTTTGATGTGGCCAAAATATTTCAACTTTCGGGACAGGATGCTGTTAATGAGCCAGTTCTCCTTGATGTTTAACTGGTGTAGAAAGTCGATGTTTTTCCTCTTCTTTATCCTTGGTATTCTGAGAATTTGTCGAAATGATAATGAAAAATGTTTGAGCATCTCGGGCAAACTACCGTGCTTCCTTAAAAATAGGACCTAACCTGAAACTAAAGCTACCCTGATCTTTTGTGATGATCTAAGATAGGCCCTATCCAAATGCGATAATGCGATTGTGTCAGGAAGCAAAAACATTGATTCGATCCATGATTCTGGTAACCGTGTGAGATGGGGAAACCTGACTGCCGACGCTTACCGGCACGGCACATGATGATGATGATCGTTACGTGAAGTCGACGAAGGGATTTCGTTCTTTTGTTGAAACACAACGTATATATGTAGTTATCATGTAATAAATGCATTCATAAATAAATAAAAAATTTTGACATTTATGCTTCGGATGATTATACAAATTATAATTATTTTTAAATACGCAAGCGGGCGCCTTGGGGCAAGAGGTACATACTCACGTACAGTGGTATTTAAAAAAAAAAAAAAACAATAATAATAGTCACTTTTTATGAGTACTGCAAAGCGTTATGGTACTTGCGCAGTGAGCCGTTTTCGTGGCACGACTACAGAATAGGTACTGTGACATGTTTGTACTTGAAATAATGTAGGCTTTTGGGTTAGGTTCACGTTAATCTAACTAAATTTTCATCCACAAGTGTGTTGGGCAGTTTGTCCATGCTTTTGGAGTATTAAAAGGTTTAGGAACTACCAACCAGAAGTGAGCTAGTGTGTATATGGGCGGGACGTGGGGGAGACCAACGTTACTTCTACCGGCTTTTGAATACAAAAAAAAAAAAAAAACACACACACACAATAGCGAAAGCCCTAAGGTGTCTTTTCTAAAGTAAGTAAAATGGCCAGTAGCGTATGTAATATGTGGTTTAATCATATTTTTATAGGCCACTATATATATATATATATATTGTATATATATATATATATATATATATATATATATATATATATATATATATATATTGTATATATACCTTGTATATATATCTATTTATATAAATATCTTTCATAGACCACTTTGATGGGTGATGTGGTCAGCATCAGGACGACCACCTTTACTTCCCAGGGCTTTACTAAGTATCCATTTAAGACTGGGTTGACTTGGCAGCCAAAGTCATGCTTTTACAAATTCCGGCAGCAAGCGGGTTTAAACCCAGGACCTTGTGATAGAAAGGCCTGCGTCACAAGGTGTCTTCTAAGGAACAAATTAATATAAGATCGTGCCTTATTTGCAAGAAAAGTAGGTACAACTGATTTTTTTTTTTTAATGTATACAAAAGACACATACAGATGTAACTGATCACTCCAAGGCACAAGAAGAAATCAGGAAACCTTGTGCCCAATCGCTGCATTAAATAGATATAAAACAAAGGGTAACATATTTTCATTTCGCATCATTCCTTTCAACGTGCCCCTCTAGGTTTTCATTCAACAACAACATGGGCCAACCAGCAATTCCCCAATCCTCCAGCTTATTTTTCAACAACAACATGGACCTACCAACAAATCCCCGATCCTCTAACTCATCCTTCAATAACAACATGAACCTACCAGCAAATCCCCGATCCTCTATCTCAACCGTCAACAACAACATGGACCTACCAGCTATTCCCCGATTCTCTAGCTAATCCTTTCACCACAACATGGACCTACCAGCAATGCTTTCATCCTCCAGATCACCATTCAACCAAAAATTGGACCTAGCAGCTATTCCCCGATCCTCTATCTCATCCTTCAACAACAACATGGGCCAACCAGCAATTCCCCAATCCTCCAGCTTATTTTTCAACAACAACATGGACCTACCAACAAATCCCCGATCCTCTATCTCATCCTTCAACAACAACATGGACCTACCAACAAATCCCCGATCCTCTAACGCATCCTTCAACAACAACATGAACCTACCAGCAAATCCCCAATCCTCTATCTCATCCTTTAACCACAACATGGACCTACCAGCTATTCCCCGATTCTCTAGCTAATCCTTTCACCACAACATGGACCTACCAGCAATGCTTTCATCCTCCAGATCACCATTCAACCAAAAATTGGACCTACCAGCTATTCCCCGATCCTCTAGCTCATCCTTCAACAACATGAACCTACCAGCATTTCTTCAATTCTCCAGCTCACCATTCAACCAAAAATTGGACCTACCAGCTATTCCCCGATCCTCTAGCTCATCCTTCAACAACATGGACCTACCAGCAATTCTTCAATCCTCCAGCCACCCTTCAACCAAAAATTTGACCTACCAGCAATTCCACGATCCTCTAGTTTACGCACTAGTCGCCTGGCGTTGTTGAAGTTGCCATACCCTGTGTCTGCGTCAACCAAGATGGGAATTGAACAGGCGTCGTTCATGAACTCTAGAATCTCTAGCACTTGCGTCCATGAAGCCTCGTTGCTGTCGCGTACACCGAGTTGAGTGGCGATCGACAGCCCGCTTGCCCAGATGCCTTTGAACCCTGGTGAAATATTAGAATCAGTTTGTTTTATTTCATTTGTTGTTGTTTTACATTTTTGTAAAAGTTTCTCTTCGGAATATTGAAACCCAGTTACTCAAGGATCAACTACTCAGATGTTCAGTATGGTGAGAGTGATGCAGCTTAGAGTGACCAGTTGTTCTGGCCGATACTAGGCGCTCAGAGCAAAGGCGAGACGGACATTCAATTAGAATGCTACTGGCAGCATCTGTATTGGAACTCTGCGCTGGCTACTGAAGATGGTAACAGAGCGCTTATGTGACTGCCATGGGTGTTCTAATGTCAGTGAGTGAATCAGCTCAGCTCAACTCAGATGCGAAATTCAACAGCGTCACGAAGCAGGTTTTTTGTGTAGAACATCGCTCTCATCATGGTCTGCATAAAATGGATACCCCGCCATCTCTCCAGCATTGTACAATTTCCTGCCCTATACTAATAGTAAAGTAAAGATCCCTTTTCACGCATTTAGGCGCATCAGGAATTTGGGAAGAGCACCCACAGTTTTACAGACCATTCGGCACTAAGTGGGTAAAATAGTCAGCATTACGCCGGCCGTTTTTTACTTCCCCAGGATATACATCATTTTAGGCTGGGTCGCCCTGCGACGCCCCATACCACGATAAAAATCCACGCAGCCAGCAGTGGGTTTCGATAGCTGTACGTTGGAATTACGAGTTGGATTCGCAACGCCTAAGCCACGGACGCATTTGAAAAAGTCCAACTTCGTTCGGATTTGAACTCACGACCTTAGGACCTTAGGTTAATGTATGTCAGGTGGCAAAGGTTTCTAGGGACACTGACTTACCAGCCTCTTCGGCAATGATGGCGCTAATACCGTTGTGAGCTTCCATGATGAACTCTAGATCTGAAGACAGCAACATTTGTCGGAGTCTGGTCGACTTCTGCAAGAGTCAAAGAAAATTTATGTCAAAGTAGAAGTGATCGTAGATGTGGCATTTTTTTTTTTTTTAATCCCTTTTCACGCCTTTCGGCGCATCGGGCATATGGGCAGAGCGTCCCATATTTTTACAGACCATCAGCACTCTGTGGGTAATGTGGTCAGTATTACGCCGGCTGTCTTTACTCTCCCAGGACAGCCCATCCTGGTACCCATTTTAGGCTGGGTCCACCTGCGAGGTCCCATACCACGACAAAAATCTACGCATAGTCGCTAGAAACTCACCTGCGGATCTGAAGGTAACGGGTTTAGGTCCTGGTACCGATGGACTTTTAAAAAAAAAATGACGATTCCTTCCAGGTCCATCCAGCCCTAATTAAACTATCTAAGAAACAGTCCTGGGAAGTAAAGGCGGTCGGTGTGATGTTATTAACATCACCCACCAAATGCCGGTTAGTCTACAAAATATAAGTGTAGCCTTATGTGCTAAACACGTGTGCAGGCGTGGAAAAGAATCCTTTACTTACACGTAAGCTATGGGGGCATAGTGACTAGACTCTTGCCCGCCGATCCGAAGATCTAGGTTTCGAATCCGCCTCGAGGATATAAGATAATTAAACGTTGCTTTCTTTCTTTCTTTCTTTCTTTCTTTCTTTCTTTCTTTCTTTCTTTCTTTCTTTCTTTTCTCCTTTATCTTTCTTTCTCTTTCTTTTCCTTTCTTCTTTCTTATCTTTCTTTCTTTCTTTCTCTTTCTTTGTCTTTCTTTCTTTCTTTCTTTTCTTTCTTTCTTTCTTTCTTCTCTCTTTCTTTCGTATTTTTCTTTCTTTTCTTTCTTTCTTTCCTTTCTTTTCTTTCTTTCTTTTCTTTCTTTCTTTCTTTCTTTCTTTCTTTCTTTCTTTCTTTCTTTTCTTTCTTTCTTTCTTTCTTTTCTTTTTTTTTCTTTCTTTTTTTTTCTTTTCTTTCTTTCTTTGTTCTTTCTTTCTTTCTTTCGTTCTTTCTTTCTTTTCTTTCTTTTCGTTTTCTTTCTTTCTTTCTTTCTTTCTTTTCTTTCTTTCTTTTCTTTCTTTCTTTCTTTTCTTTCTTTCTTTTCCTTTCTTTCTTTCTTTCTTTCTTTCTTTCTCTCTTTCTTTTCTTTCTTTCTTTCTTTCTTTTCTTTCTTCTTTCTTTCTTTCCTTCTTTCTTTCTTTCTTTCTTTCTCTTTCTTTCTTTCTTTTCTTCTTTCTTTCTTTTCTTTCTTCTTTCTTTCTTTCTTTCTTTTCTTTCTTCTTCTTTTCTTTTCTTTCTTTCTGTTCTTCTTTCTTTCTTTCTTTCTTTCTTTCTTTCCTTCTTCCTTCCTTCCTTTCTTCCTTTTTTCCTTCCTTTCTTACTTCTTCTTCATCTTCTTCTCCCCCTTCTCCTCCTCCTTTCACCTTCTTCGCGTTCAGGTTTTGTACACTCCAGTGCTGGTGTTTCGTCAACCTCTAGACTTGCCCCAAAACTTGTGTTTCGTGTGCAAGTTCTTCAACCTCGTGTGCACACGCTTGTTTCCCCTCACACATCTGGCGTATTTGTGAGCAGACTGCTGGTTCCTTGCATCACAGGAGGTTGCCCTATGACTGACTGACTTTCTACCCCACCAGGACATCACACAAGCGATAAACACCCGATGACAAAAAGTGCCACCATGTGGATGAGGATCGCCGTGGAGAGGTCCCAGAAACCGCGTTTAGACAATAGGCCATAGTAATGGCCTGCCTATATTGAGGCCCCTGGCAAAAGCCAGGGTGGGGCTTCAAATAACAAAAAATGCCGCCCTAAAAAGGACAAAACTGGATGATATTATATAACGACACCTAAGGAAACGCCCAAAATTGATCGGTTGGGGCCGGGAGTGGGTCTGTTCTTTTCCCGCCACAATGGTGCCTTGGAACTGGCGCAGCGGAAGCGCGATTGAGGCGGTTTTTACAAAGTTACATTTTTATGTCTGTTGTTTCTTATTTTCCAATACACTAAAGTCAAACAGGTGATTCCCAATGGTCAATGGGTCAAATAGATGAATGGAATATCATACACAAGGATAGGTGAATGGATAGCTAAACAAAGAAAGACAAACAGACAGTCAGACAGACCAGCAGACAGGCATTCGGGCTGAGGGATCGACGAATCGATCGATAGATTGACTAGACCACCTTTTTTCGACAGACAGACTGACGGACCAGACAGTTTCCCTCGACGGACGCTAATACGATAGATAGATCTCTCTTTTCTTCCGGATAGATAGCATGATAGATAGACTAGATAGATACATTAGATAGCAGTCATCAGAACAGATAGATAGATAGAATGCTGTGATAGATAGACGACGATAGATAGATAGGCCGAAGATAGGACAGATAGATAAAGATAGATACAGATAGATAGAATAGAGATAGATAGATAGATAGATCGATGACAGATAGATAGATAGATAGATAGATAGATAAGATAGATAGAGACTAGATCTCTTTAGATCAGAATAGATAGGATAGCTGGATAGATTAAGTTGAGATCGATAGATAGATATTAGATAGATAGATAGATAGATAGATCTGGATAGATAGCTGCAGTAGATAGATAGCTAGATAGATAGATAGATAGATAGATCGATAGATGTCTGCTAGTTCTTCTGATTAGGGAGATATCTCAGATAGATAGATTACGATAGATCTGTCTGTTTGCTTCTGTTCTGTAGTTTAGATAATCCGTTCTGTGGGGTCTGATAGATAGAATAGGTAGATCTGATAGATAGGTAGCCTTTGTTAGCGAGGTAGTCATTAGTACAGTTTCTGCCCCGCGTTAGCTCACGGATAGTTCCGATAGATACGATAGTCTAGGATAGATAGATAGTATGAGCTAGATAGATAGATAGCTAGATAGATCGATAGACAGACGAAGATCAGACAGATAGATAAGATAGCTCGACAGGCAGATCGGTAGACAGGCTAGCTAGATAGGCTCTGCAGGCTAGCGCGGATAGCAAGGCTAGTGCATCGAGAATACGATCCTTTGCATTAGCATGGATGAGATGAGATCCGCATTAAGATAGATCGATAGATAGATAAGATAGGATAGCTAGATAAGCTAGATAAGATAAGGCGGAATAGATAGAAAGATACGAGTCCGATTCAGATGGCAGATAAGATAAATGAGATTGAGATAGATAGAAGCTCAGATAGATGAAGATAGATAGCATTGCTGCCTCGATAAGTTAGATCCTTTAAGGCTGGATACAGATGCATAGATGAGATAGATACCCATAGATAGATCGATAGATAGATAGATCGATAGATAAGATAGATGAGATAGATGGATAGAATAGGGTCGCTAGATAAGGATAAGCTGGATAGACTCGTCAGATATTATGGATAGATAGGATAGTCGGATAGCTAAGATAGATAGATAGATAGAAACCATAAGATCTGATAAGAATAGATAAGATAGATGGATAGCATGCAGATAGACGTGCCAAATAGGATGGATAGATAGATGCTAAGATGGATAGATCAGATAGTTTAGATCAGATGGATAACAAGATAGATAGATAGATACTATAGATAGATAGATACGCTAGATAAGATAAATAGATAGATTAGCATCTATAGCATAGATCGATAGTATAGATACGATCGATAGATAAGATAGATAGATAAGATAGATAGACAGAGAGACAGATAGATAAGATAGATAGAAAGATAGATCAGATAAGATAGATAGATAGATAGATCAGATAGATAGAAGATAAGATAAGATAGATAGACAGATAGATCAGATAGATAGATAGATAAGAGAGAGCTAGATAGATAGATAGATAGAAACAGATAGAGAGACAGCTACCAAAGATAGATTCTTATTTTAGATACGAAATAGATCGATAGATAGATAGGATTAGATATATAAGCGATAGATTCACATAGTTAGACAGGCAGATAAGACAGACAGACAGACTAAGACAGACCAAATAACAGACAGACAGACAGGACAACAGACAGACAGACAGACAGACACAGACAGACAGACAAAGACAGGACGACAAGACAGACATGGACAGACAGACAGATACAGACCAGACAGACAGATAGATAGATAGATTAGATAGATAGATAGATCGATAGATTAAGCTAGACAGATAGATAGATATATATGATAGATAGACAGATAGATAGATAGATAATATAGATAGATCGATAGATAGATAGATAGATAGATAAGATAGATAGATAGATAGATAGATAGATAGATAGATAGATAGATAGATAGAATAGATAGATAGAAGATAGATCAGGATTAGATAGATAGGATAGATAGATAGATAGATAGATAGATATAGATAGATAGATAGATAGATAGATAGCTAGATAGGATAGATAGATAGATAGATAGATAGATAGCTCGATAGATAGATAGCTAGAACAGATCGAATAGACAGATAGATAGATAGATAGATAGATAGATAGATAGATTAGATAGATAGATCGATAGATAGATCAGATAGATAGATAAGATCGAATAGACAGCTTTAGATAGATAGATAGATAGATGAGATAGATAGATAGATAGATAGATCAGATAGATAGATAGATAGATAGATAGGATAGATAGATAGATAGATAGATAGATAGATAGATAGACTAGATAGATTAGATAGCTAGATAGATGGATAGATTAGATCAAGATAGATAGATAGATAGATAGATAATAGATAGATAGATGGGATAGATGCAGATAGATCGCTAGATAGCTAGGATAGATAGATAGATAGAAGATAGATAGTAGACTAGATAGATAGATAGATAGCTCAGATAGATAGATAGATAGAGATAGATAGCTAGATAGATAGGATAGATAGATAGATAGCTAGATAGATAGATAGATAGATAGATAGATAGATAGATAGATAGAATAGATAGATAGATAGATCGATCAGATAGACAGATAGATAGATAGATGATAGAAGATAGATAGATAGATAGTATTAGCCTAGATCGA